GTTATACACAAACAATGAATCATGGAACACTACATCAAAAACTAATGATGTAATGTATGGTGATTAACATAACAATAAAAAATTTAAAAAAAAGAATGAAACTAAGCCGGATGCCTGGGTGGCTCAGTTGGTTAAGGGTCTGCCTTCGGCTCAGGTCATGATCCTGGGGTCCTGGGATCGAGTCCCACATCGGGCTCCTTGCTCGGCGGGGAGCCTGTTTCTCCCTCTGCCTGCTGCTTCCCCTGCTTGTGTGTGCTCTCTCTGACAAATACATAAATAAAATCTTTAAAAAAAAAAAAAAAAAGAAGACATGGCTCTTGGCAAATATATTTAGCTATTTAGAGAAATTATTCAAAGTGGGTGTTTTATAGAGAGTGAATCAGCACTATTATCTTTTACTTGAAGGTCTTTCCTTGTGATCAGGGCTGGAGAACAGAGAACAAATCTTATCAATGGAATGTGCTAGAAGAGGTATCAGCAGCTTCTGTTTTTCAGTCTTTCGTGGGTATGTATGTGTGTGTTTCTTTTCTTCTAATTAATTCTGTGACCTCAGGCAAATTGTCATGTCTCTGATTCTCATTTGATGCCACTCTCTACCTTGTGACCAGAGTTAATCATTTTAGCACAGATTTGATCTGATCATGCCTTTCTCCTGCTTGAAACCCTGTTGAAACTCTCCTCTGGTCCAGATTTCTTGTTATTGAAGACCCTTCATGCTTTGCCTCTAGTCCATTCTTCCTCTCACTTTCTGTCACAGGTACTTCAATCCAGAAAGGCTGAACTATCTGAGGTTATCACAAATCACTAGGCTATTATCACTGCTGAAAATACCAAGGCCAGTTTTTATTTATCCTCCAGACATACCTTAAACATTTCTTGCTGGGACCTACTTCAAATCTTACTCTCTATTCCCAAATCTCTGCACCCTCTCCTGAGGAGGATATTCTACTTCTTTATATTCCTAATTCGAATACATTTCCTATTATCCTAGGGCCTGTCAATCATGAGATCTTCCCCCAAGGTCTTTGATTCTTTAGGCAAGAAGAAAATTCTGAAAGTCCCAGGCCAATTAAATTTTTCATTCATATTACATTCTCCATATTCCCAATTCATTATGGTATCAGATATTATCCAAACTCTTCAAGATTTCTCTGCCTTGAGGCAAGTGTCCCTAACCATCTGGATGATCTCAAACCCACTGGCTGATGTACAAGGACCTCACCTGGGGATGGAGGTGGAGAGGGGCACAACAGCACCTGAGATACCATAGGTAAGATTTTAGGAAGCCAAAGGTTCTAAGTGAAGGTTCATGTTCCTTTATTCTTTAACTTCCTGTAGTAATTACAGGCCCACATGGACATCTCATCACAATACTTTTTTACCTTACTGAGGTTACCAATTAGCAAGTTATGATTTCTTATATTTTTTCCCCTCTAGACCAGCAATTAATGAATTACAGCCTGCAGGCCAAACATTTCTATTGCCTCGTTCTGTACAATTTGTGAGTAGGTTTTTACATGTTGAAGTAGTTGGAAAAAAAGTCAAAAGAATGATTATTTTTGACATGTGACAATTACATAAAATTCAAATGTCATGTACCTCTGAAACAAATAATGCAATATATGTTAAGAAAAAAAAAAAGAAGAAGAAGGTAGCGGGAGGGGAAGAATGAAGCGGGGGAAATCGGAG